CCTTTAAAATTCCAAACTACCTGGTAATGAGTATAGAGCAGGAAGGACATTTAACACATCTCTCCTCCTACCTCCAAGAAAAGCTCAATTTAAAGCACCACCACATCATACCATCAGAGCTCTGCCTGACTTGGTTCAGTGAGAGGAGGAGAGATGCTTCCCTGGACACAGCATGGTGACAGCTGAAGTCCTGTCCAGCTTGTGACCAACTACAAAGATAAATGGCTGTTCTAAGATCCTCCCAAAGAGTGCAATATGTGAATTAACAGCCTTGCTATAGTTGCATTAGGAAGAGAGAGGCACTGCATTACAGTTCTGTTGAGCACATGACCCAGACAGACACTGGCATTTGGAAAGAAATGCTTAAAATTAAATTAATCAGGTAAGCTTCAATAAAGTCTTAAGACACTTGTTTTGAACACACACACTGACCTGCTTTATTCTACACTGGTACACTGGAAGTGGCAGACAAACCTCACCTCTGCCAATTGTTTCCTTCAGCAAAGACAACTGGCAAATAGTCTCTAGACAACAGATTTTGGCTTGCTTTTTTCTAGCCTGGGTAGCTTCCCCAAGAATAATTTTAGTTTCCTTTCCCACATTCACTAACTGCTCTTTGGCACATATTTCTACCTATAGTAACACTCAGGTTGAAGACTCCATTAGAAAGGATTCCCATTAGAAACAATTTAAGAACTAACTGTATTTGCTGAAGGGGGCACCATCCATTCTTAATTCTTTTATATTTGCAGTGTTGTTCAAAGACATGCTTGTGCTGCCTAGTGATAAAATACTCCAGCAAGATTAATTTTTACCATTTGTTTTCATTAAGGGAAAGCCACTGGATCCACAAAGGGTATCACATTCTATTCCACCTCACCTAAAAATTAATGGGGAAAAACACATGAAGCCCTTTGGAGATTCAAAGGGCAAGTTTCATCCACACATTAAATAGCTTTATTTAATGGTATCCTGACCAGGGAGATAAGAGGCAATGTTGCCTTTTCCTTTTGCTCTATTCCCATTGCCAAGGGAAGAAAAAAAAAACATACAACCACACCAAAACCCAAAGTGTTAGGCTACAACACAACTACCCAAGAGAAACACATAATATTGATGACATTTTCTGTCTTTAGAGCAGCAGAAAAAGTTCTCACTTCCACGCAGCAGATAAGAGGAGAAATCATCATAACTCACCAGACACATGCAGAATATTCCACACATGCAAACCTGCCTTGAAAATACACTCCTAAAAGGCCTCCTGGGTGTACCTGTGATACTGAATTATCTCATTCCATGGCTCTGACACATCTCAACGTGCACAGAAACAGTGGAGCCACTGAAGGGTTCAGTCTTTGTGGCAGAATGTCCCAGGCTGGGTTAGCCAAGGCTGCTGCAGGTGCTGCTCATTTTGGCCACCAATCCAGCACTTTGATTGTTCTGCAGCCTCTCCCTTCTCCCTCACCCCCCATCTTCAGGTGCACCTGGTAAGTCAGGGCAGAACTGCTCTGTAGTTTGGCCACATGTGCAACAACTTGATGAAAAACTGTTTGCCCTGACCTAACAATTACAGTGTTTTCTGGAGAACTTTTACAGTGGTTTTAGATTTCTAGAACAATCTCATCCATTAAATGCACCTGTGATAGTTTTAGACTTCAAGTCAAGACACTACCCATGTTCTAATCATCAAAAATGAATTTAACCTGGTGGAAAACAACCCTTTAAAACCAAGTTTCCAATAGGGCAATGACCCATAACCTAACAAAGAATGCTTGACCTGAACAGGCTCACATTTAAGGATAAAAGTGACAAAGGTGGGGCATGTGGGTGTACCACCAAAAGCAAAGCAAAGTAAAAAAAAACAAACCCCAACACCAACCAAACAAAAAACCAAGCAGCAACCCTCCCCACACATAGAGCAGACAAAGTCAGGGAATACTCAAAGTACACAGAATGCTTTCTACTCAAAGGTAGACAGACACCTGCAGATCTGACCTTATCACCTCCACTGTTCTAGTGTTGCAAAAGCAGTCACAACCTCAGAAGTAGATGACTTTTACCATATCCCAAGGTAACAGTAACAAACCTGACTTTCCAGCAACCAATGGTGGCCCCTTTACCTTCTTCCTCTCATGTCTTTTAAGCAACCACCTTTTCCTTACCTGTTCACAGTGTCAGAAACAGGGCTGACTCTGGACAACATAAAAGAAAAGTGTGTATCTACATCTAAACCCACAAAACCTCACCACCAATAATGCCACACACTGCACACAAAAGACTAAGAATCCCTCATTGCATTAAGTTTGAAGGCAAGGTAATTTTGTTCCACTTTACGAAAAAATCATTTTATTCATAACTGTCAATTAAAAAAGTCACCAATTAAATTATTAGGGTCCATCTCAAGTATACCTCCCATTTATATGGGGTGAAAACCAACCTGATGTACCTTCTTCCAACTAAATGTAGCATACAAAGATGAGAGTGAATGGAAACATATTTCATAGCAGACTTAAATCAGCAGCAGGTAAATTCTTTCCCAACTGCCTCTTCCCAAATACACTGCATTTAGAAACATCAATAGGTGTAGCTGGGGAGGAGAGGGGGTAAAACAAACAACCCCCCCCCCAGGCATGCTGCCTCAGGATTCACATTACATATTTTTCACTACCCTCTCATACCCCTGGCATAAAGAATACTATTCCTGCCCTCCCTCACTCCTCCATTTCTTTAATTATAATAACAAGTCAGGGGAATATTTAAGATATTTCTAAATACTCAAAAAGCTTCTGTGCACGTAAAATGCAGAATATCCTGTGTCACACAGCCATTCAAGATCACCTCTTCGAGGGAGGCTCATTTAAATGCAGAGTTGAAGCAACCTCCAGTGTCAGACTGGAGTGTCCAATATCATTTTACATGCTACCAGTGGCTTAATTTTGCAGACAAACATAATCAAGACACCTTTTCTTTCTCAGAGTTCTTGAAAAATAAAACCACACACCTCTTTTTCTATGCAGCTGTAACAGAGATTAATCTTGAAGGTTTTGACTGTGATTTCTTGTCCATTATTAATAAAAAACGATCAAAAGATAAGGTTCCATTGTAAAACAGATTTGCTTCTCCTTCCTACTCTGCATTTTGTCTCAGTGATACTATGGAAAAAAAAATTGATAACTAGACAATGCAAATTTCCCAGGTAATAAATCCAAAGCCAGGATGAACAAGGGCTACAAAGGAAGAGTCAAAAGAAACCCAAAGCCACTAAGAAGCCCAAAACTCACATGCCAAATAAAATCAGTCTGGAAACAGCACACTGGAATCAGGAAAGGTACTTAAAGTGAGGCTGAACACTGGGCTTCTTCTGTCTGCTATCACTTCCCCTATCCCCCAGCCTTCACATCACAGCAGCAAATCCATCAAATCCACTGGTATTAGTTAAAAAACCAAAATACAGTAGTAGTAACAGAGCTGAAAGAAATTCTGAACATCAGTCAGTTGAACAGCCCATACAGTAAATACAATTACTGTATGTTACAATGCACAACCCAGTTTAAAAAAAAAAAAAGGTAACAAAACCACAGCAAACAAATAAAAAAAAAAGCCCCAAACCAAAAGAACACGAATTTTTTTCTGTTTCCTCTAAACCCAAGTCTTTATGCTTGGGCTTTCACTCAGACTGTATTTGTTTCTATGAAGGTATCTCGTGTTTATATTTAGAACACACCACTTTGTCTCGTGTAGCAGCACATTGTAAAGTTGGAAATATTTTATGACAAAATACTCATTTTTACAACAGTGATGACAAAATTTTAAGCTTACTGTAAGTGTCCATTTTAACTATATTATAGATGCCACACAGCTAGACATTACCAACCCTCACACTTCCAGATATGCTGTAGTTTTGTCCCGTTATTCCAGATAAGAGTCCAACACAGTATTTTCTATTAACTTTTATCTAAAAGAGGAAGGAGATGCTGTCTGAATGTGAGCTGGCAAACTGAGAAGCTTCTCTTTCAAAAGCAAAGTTGGCTGTGCTTAAGAGCAGGAGCAGAAACCACAAACAGAACCAACTTTAGAACCAAAGAGGATTCTGGGAATTAAGTCAACCTCAGACAACATCCCCACTCGTATTCACCCCATTTATGTCCCAGAGTCACTAAAACCTACAATGGTATGTGACCTCGGGGGAGGGGAAAAAAAGAGAAAAATCTTATCTCCATCCCTCAATAACACAGTTTCGTTAGAGCTACGAGGCAGAAATGGGTGAGAGGCATGGAAATCAACCTTTCATTTGCAGTATTTCTCCTCTCTTTCCTTATGACCAGAGATAAGGAGACAAAAGAAGTCACCTCTGAAACTCACCGAGGCTACGGGATGACCGGAGGGAGATAACAAGGTCTCGGCATCAGATAAACCCCGACGGATGGCGGAGGGGCCATTCCAGCCCGGGTGCTTCACCCACACATCCCTGTGCTCAGGCTGGGAAACCGCGGGCGAGACGATTCCAAAGGCAAACCCACAGCGACCTCCAGTCTCCCGGTGCCACAGGAGGAACCTCCACCCAAAATCACCGGGCTCAGACCCGCATCACACGGCGGCACGGGGAGCCCTCGCCCCACAGCCCCGTCCCCCGACACCGCCCCGGGAATGCCCCTTCCCAACTCAGCCGGCGCCAAAGTTACAATGAACGAGGTACAGGCGGCCACGCACCGCCCGGGGAATGCCCTCCTCCCCAGCGCTGGGAACACACCTCACACACAGCCCACCTACGCTCTGCTCCCCTCGGGGAGCCACGTCCGTATGGAGGAGGGGGGCGAGAGGCAGCAAAGAAGCCGCCCCGAGGGCGAGCCCGAGCCGCTCCCTTCCCCGGCCAGCGGGCAGCGCTCCCTCCGCCATCCCCGCTGCCACCCCGGCGCCTGGGAGCGGGGGGGAACACGAACGAGAACCCTCCTCCCTCCACTCGTTACTCCCTCCCCGCCTCCCTCCAAGCCGCCGCTCACCTGGGAAAGGAGCCAAAGCCCGGCTCCTCTCGCCGTCCCCACCACCCTCAGTCCCCGCGCCGCCATTTTCCTTCGCTTGCCTGGATTTAAATCGGGCCCGAGCGGAGGCACCGGCGGCGCGAGGCGGGGCAGGCCCCACCTCCCTCCGCGCGCGGGGCATCACGGGATTTGTAGTCCTCGGTGCCACCTCCGCGCGCGGGGCATCACGGGATTTGTAGTCCCGGGGCCCACCACAGCCTCCCCGGGGGCGTCTGTGGAACAAGGTTCGGTTTGACTCATCCTGTGCCTCGCTTGGGGCCAAGGGAAAAGGGGGCGTGGGAGGGTGATGTCATTTGGGACTCGCCGATGTCACCGGGTGAGCGGTGACGCGGTGCAGGAACGGGTGACTGGGGGGATGGAGGGAGGGTCGTGGGGCGTCCTCCCCCCCAAAAAAAAGAAAGGTTACAGCCCCAAAAATTCATGGGAGGGCGTGCAAAACAATATTAAAGACTGTAAAGCTTCTCGTCTTTGTATATATTGAAAATGAATGTTAATTAACGTATAAATTAATTTCAAAATGCAACCCTGTATCCTTTGTACATTATGTATCATACACACATTTTAGATCATAGGAAATCCCTACTTTGTATCTCTAGGGTTTGAAAATACAAACTGCAGCTTTGTACGTTTAAATTCAATGATAAAGAGCTGGCAAACGTGAGGGCAGGTGACGGATGTGAAGGGAACAGCAGCGGAGAGTCATCGGTGTTCTGGTGCCGCCGCCCGGCGGCGAGCGCGGGAACTGCGCGTGCGCGGGCACAGAGCGGTTCTGCGGCCGGGACAGCCGCGCATGCGCGCGGCCAGAAAAACGGAGCAGTGGAGCACGTGGTAATTTTTGGCAACATGGCGGCGAACTAACGCATGCGCACTGCCAAAAAAGAAGCAGCAAAACACGTGGGAAGTTCTGGTAACACGGTGAGGGGCTCGCGCATGTGCACTGCCAAAACCGAAGCAGACGAGCACGTGGTAAGTTATGGCAACACAGCGACGAAGTCGCGCATGCGCGATGCCTGAAATAAAGCAGCCAGACACATGGCAAGTTCTGTCAACAAGGCGACGAGCTCTTTTATGCGCACTGCAAAAAACGAAACAGCAAAACGTGGGAAGTAATGGCAACAGAACGACGAACACATGCATGCGCACTGCGTAAAGTGAAGTAGCTAAACACATGGTAAATATTGGCATGCGCAATTACTTTACTGATGCCCACCAAGTGTGGGCAATCTGGCAACAGAGCTGCACATGCGCAGTGACACCGATGACTCTCTGGCGTCTCCTGCTGGTCAAAAGGCGGCGCTACAGCGAAGGAACCTGCGCATGCGCAGTGAGCGGGCGGCGCTGCCCCGTTTTTCCCGGTTTTGCTTGTAAAAACAGCTTTGTAAAATCATTTCTGCCGAAAGGTTTATCTTTTTACAGGCTGTTAAATAAAAAAAAAAAGAAAATCACCCCCCCCCAAAAAAGAAAAGTTATTTTGTGTATGGAAATAAACTTTTACAGATGTTTTTACTTTATTTTATATGTGTTGTAGCTCTTGACCTCTTCATAATATGCTTGATACATTAAGGGGGTCGATGTAGAGTCTTCCCAAAAAAGGGAGGTTACAGCACAAAATTGTCTAAAAGTTCATTGGGGGGAAGGGGCCGTGCAAAAAAAATGAAATACTAACATTTCTCGTTTTTCTATATATTGAAAAATAATCCTAAATTATATAAAAATTGATTTCTAAATAGAACCTTGTATCAACTGTGTTATATATATCGGATCTCGGAGCGTGAGAAATTCTGAGTACAGATATATAGCGTTGGAAAACACAAATATAACCTTTCTATCCAATTAAATTAAACAATAAAAGGGGGCTTGAAAGGGGGAGAAAATACGATCGACAAGCGGGAACTAGAAATAGCGCTGTGTATCCGGAGTGGTTTTTTCTGGTCCCTTGGAGGGTAACGCCAAGCCTCAGATTTTGGTTGGGACTCGCGTCCCCCCCCCGAAAAAGAGGCACATTGGGTTTTAATGACTCGCTGGTGTCACCTGCTGACGGAAAGCGGTGCCGCAACCAAGGTTTCTTTCATTGATACGTGTTACGATTATTAGAAATGATTAAAATTATTAAAACCCGAGCCCAGAATCGCGATTCCTTCCTGGAGATGACACGATTATTAAAATTATTGGAAATGCTTCTGCCCGAATTAAGGTACAAAAAGAGACCAGATGCCAAAGTCAGTAGCACGGGTTTTATTTAATGGGAAACGTGGGGCAGAGAAAGAGAGATAGAAGGAAATAGGAAAAGGAGTTCGGGGGAAGAAAAGAAGTGACAGAGAAAGATTACAATGGAAAATGGATCATCACTCCATGGAACCCGGTGGTGTTCTGTGGGTCTGGCTGTTCTGGTCTTCTTGGTGAAGTTCCCACAAAACACAGAGTCCAGTGGATAAATATCTGTTCAGGGGATTCCAGGTACCTCCCCTGGGGGTGGGAGGGAAGCTTTGCAGTGTCTTGAGGCAGGCTCTGGATTTGTTTCCTCCCTTGGATCGTGTGGTGGTGGAATGCCTCAGGAATGAGCTGGGGGGATGCTTTGGGGGGTCTTTGGTGGTTTATGACCCTTCTCACGTGAATGTCTCATGTGTAAGTGGCCTTCCTGGAAGGGGGGGGTTACTCCTTTGGTTTGGTGTGGAGGTGCTTTAAGAAAGCACCATCACACCCCCAAAACCCTTCTCCTCCACCACCCCCTTGTTCACTTCTCCTCAGACCCGAGATGATTAGACAACAGTCTTCCCTCAAGTCCCGCTTCCCAGTCCAAATTCCAGTCAGGCTTCAGTGGTCCCAGACAGGCAGTTGCTTCCTTGCAGTTTGACAAGAAGTCTTTCTATGATTTTGGCCATGTTTAACACATTACCAAGGCTTCAGTCCCTTTACAATACAAACATGCAAAGCAGGGAGTGAGGTGGTGCTCGGGCAGGTGAGCCAGTGCTCAGTTCCAGTTGCCTCCCTCAGGAGCAGTCGAGAGAGTTTCCAGTTTGGGGCTGAGCTCCAAAGGAAAAGGCACCTCAAACTGCTTCTTCTGATAAATCCATAAGTAGGGGAGGCTAAAAGAACCTCACTGCTGTTACCAGCCAGTAACTTCCACTGATATCTTGGCTATTAAAACCAGTGAGTTTTATTTCCTCTGTGCACAAACCCTGATGGTATTTGTTAAACTCCCTTGCTGAGCTGTGCACTGCTTGAGCAACTCTTGCCTCTCTCTGTTCCCCTTCCTTTGGAGGCCAAATCTACGTCCATGTAGCTATTCCAGTGTGGAAACAATAGCAGTGCCCGTTTTGTTGTAGCCAAGGATGAAATGTGGCGACTGTAGTAATATATTAACTCTTTGTGACTGGGAAGGTGCTGAAGAAGCTGAAGAGCAGGTGGCCAGTTACACCTGCACAGGAAGAGATTTTTTGGGTGAGTTGTGCTGTGATGTCCTTGGGCAAAGCCATCGTGGCAGATCTGCCTCGATGGGCATGACTGAACAGCAAAGTTGTGGGGGGGTTTTGTTCACCCCACTGCCTCTTAACCCCGTCCCCAGTGCCTTGGCAGGGGGGAAACCAGAGCAGAGCTGCATAAATTTGATTTCAGGTTGTGGCTTACATTGGAAATAGAGTCAAAAAAAAATCCTTACTGACAAACTTGTTAATAAAACCTTGGATCCTGGGAAACGAGGGAGGCTTAGAAACCAAGCCCGTTTTTCATTTTTACAAGCTTGGGGCCAGAGCAAATCCATGAAGTAATTTTTATTTCTGTCTCTCAGTGCTGCAGTGTTTGCTTTGGAAGGACGGCTGGGACCACTTGTCTGGAAGCCTGGTTTTGGCTGCTCCCATCCTGGTGTTGTTTTAAGAGAAACTGTCATAAAACCATCCCTCTCTGCTCGGGCTTTAGCGAGCTCAGCTGTTCCTGTGCTGGGTGACTTCACAAATCCGAGCCCAGAACTGCAGTTCCACCCTGGAGCTGACAGGGGCTGGGAGCCCTGAGCTGGCAGGGGCTGCTGCAGAATAAATCAGGGTGTAGGCCTGGCACCTGTGTTTGGGAGCTGCTCCTAAATTACAGGATGATGAGGCTGAGAACATTAACTGCTGCTCTGATGCTGTAAATCCAGGCAGTGAGGGGTGTCCTGCATTGCAGAGTGTTAATTGAGAAAGATTGAGGGGCAGAAAAATACCAAGGAAAATGAGCAAGGTCAAGCACAGTTAAGGAGTAAAAAGATAATTAGCCTTTAATTGGAAAATGGAGCTCTTTCTGGTGTGGATGTTGCCAGCCTGGCTTGGCTGTCCTGGGGCTCAGGAATAGGCACTGCTCTACAGGTGGGGAAGCAAGGTTGCTCTTGTTTTGTTTTTCTTGTTAGTTTGGATGCTCTGCTTTATATCCAGTAAAAATCTCATAGGGTTTGAACTTCATGCTGGCTGTGGAGTTCCTGGGCTGGAGACCCCTCTCAGTCTGAGGCTCCATGTCCCTGGCTGTTGTCCCTTTGAAGCCTTTACAGACACACAACCCTCTTGGGCTACACAACCTTCATTCACAGAGAGAGACCTGGACCTTTAATTCAGCTTTAAATGAAAGACCAGGCTGAAAGAGTTCCAGCAGCCTTGGCTGCTCTGGGAGAGAAATGCTTGCTGGAAACCCTGTGGTGCTGCTTGATTTTAAAGTTTGTATTTGGTTTTGGTATTTTGCATTCCTCAACAGAGTAGATGACTCCTTGTTTGAAAACAGATGTGGGAAAAGGATTGATTATTATCAGGGACTGGAGGGGAATAGTAGAGCTGGAGCTCCTGGGTCATGGCAGTGCCCTGACTGCAAAGCTTCCAGCTGGGAAGCCCCTAGAGACACTGGGAAGAGAGAAACTAATAGAGTAAGGAGGAAAACAGAAGGACATCCAGGGTTTTTTACTGTCAGACTTCCTTTGGGATGGAGCCTGGTTGGGCTGAGCAGTGCTGAGCTTGCACAGCTCCGCAGTCGGTGTCGTGGGACCTGCTGAGCCCCTCCAAGGGCTCTCTGCTGCTGGCCTTGTTCCCGCTGCTCCCAGGGATTTCACAGCCCTTTTATCTTGTTTTCACAGC